TCTTGACATGGCATCTCAGCTTCAGTCACTTTTTCATCGTCGTAATGGAGAATCTCTCTGCCTTTTCTATAAATATTTTTATGCTGTTAATTTCCTGCTGGATTCACCTTTTTTTTTCACTCTGGTCACCTACACTCCAAAATGACTTTCCTCTTCTCGAGGCTGGTTCAATGATTTGCCAATAATAACCTGATAACTATCTCCATGAAAATAACTTAGCATTGCCGCGTGTGTAGATCTACCTTTTCCAAACTGACATTTTGCTAGAGTTTCCCTCGTTGGTACCAAGGATTTAAGATTTTAAGCGTGCTACTAGATTGGCAGCAAGGTCTCCGCATATTGCAGTTGAAATGGCTACAAATAACCGTAAGTTCTATGCTAACAGTTTCTTCTCTCGCACTTCTCGCTTGTGGAAATCTCTTCCGGTTTCCTACTATCCAATCAAGTAGGATCTTCAAAAATTTATATCAACTGTCTTCTTAATTCCTGTTCTTTTATCGTTCTTTTTCCTTAATAATGTTCCTTTTTATTCTCCTTGATAAAATCCAAAAAAGAATCAGCAATATTATCGGTCCTGATCTGACAGCTCTGTTTCAGTCACTTTCCCACCGTCGTAAATTTACCTCTCTGTGTCTTTTCTATAAATACTTTCATGGTAATTATTCCGATGAGCTCTTTGCTATGGTACCTAAGCTTTTTTTTTTTTTTAATTTAAGCGCAGCACTGGACTGGCGTCGAGATCTCATCAATTTACAGTTGGGATGGCTAGATATAGCCGCAGGTTCTATACTAACAATTTCTTCTCTCGCACTTCTCGTTTGTGGAAGTCTCTTCCGGTTTCATGCTTTGCCAGCCAACTTTAATCTGCAAAAATTTAAATGCAATGTTAATTGCTATCTACTGCCTTCCTAATTACTCTTCTATTATTCTCATTCCTTAGTAATGTTTCTATTTCTAATTCTTCCACATCCTGTAATCCCTTGTGCCTTAGTGGCTTTAGTGCCTTGCTTGGGGTGAAATCAATATGTAAAGGTTCGACGGCGGCACTTTAGTGAATTTTCCTTTACGGTTCATACTTTCTCTTTTAATAAGTGTGACATTCTTCAAAGATGAGGTTGAATAGATAGATAGATAGATAGATAGATAGATAGATAGATAGATAGATAGATAGATAGATATGAATAGACTGAGATAGATAGATAGATAGATAGATATGAATACTGAGATAGATAGATAGATAGATAGATATGAATAGACTGAGATAGATAGATAGATAGATAGATAGATATGAATACTGAGATAGATAGATAGATAGATATGAATAGACTGAGATAGATAGATAGATAGATATGAATAGACTAAGATAGATAGATAGATAGATAGATATGAATACTGAGATAGATAGATAGATAGATATGAATAGACTGAGATAGATAGATAGATAGATAGATAGATATGAATACTGAGATAGATAGAGAGATAGATAGATAGATAGATAGATATGAATAGACTGAGATAGATAGATATGAATAGACTGAGATAGATAGATAGATAGATAGATAGATATGAATAGATGAGATAGATAGATAGATAGAAGATAGACTGAGATAGATAGATAGATAGATAGATAGATGAATACTAGAGATAGATAGATAGACTTAGATAGATAGATAGATAGATATGAATAGACTTAGATAGATAGATAGATAGATAGATAGATAGATATAGACTTAGATAGATAGAATACTGAGATAGATAGATAGATATGAATAGACTGAGATAGATAGATAGATAGATAGATAGATAGATAGATAGATAGATAGATAGATAGATAGAAAAAGGCTGATCCTTAGTAATGTTTCTATTTCTAATTCTTCCACATCCTGTAATCCTTTGTGCCTTAGTGGCTTTAGTGCCTTGCTTGTGGTGAAATCGATATGTAAAGGTTTGACAGCAGCACTTTCGAAAATTTTCCTTCACGGTTCATACTTTCTCTTTAAATAAGTGTGACATTCTTCAAAGTTGAGGTTGAATTTGAGCTTCAAAAATTTAAATGCAACGTCAATGGCTATCTAATGTCTTCCTGATTACTCTTTTCTCTCCCTGCTCATTATTAACGTTTCTGTTCCTAATTCTTCTATACCCAGTAACCCCTTGTGTCTTAGTCGCTTTATTGCCTTGCCCGTGGTGAAATGATTAAATAATAATAATAGACTAAAACCTGAAGCAGCAGTTTTGGGCCAAGTCCCCACTCAATATTTCGTCCCATCCAACTACATATTTCGTCCTGTCTCTCTACTATATTCCGTCCTCCTAAATATTTCGTCCCCCTACATATTTCGGCCCGTCCCCTACATATTTCGTCTTATTTCTTTACATATTTTGCCTCGTCCCCACCCCCTACATATTTTGTCCCGTCCTCCTACATATAGATGATTTCACCGTGGTGAAGTTTCAGTGCAACTTTTATGGCTTTTGAAAGAAATTAATGATCCTCGTTCGAGAAAGTGTCCTGAGTCCATCTTTCTGGAGGTTAGCATCAGCCATATACTGACAGAAGGTAAAAAGCATTCTCTCACACGATTAAAAGAAAGAAGTTTTGTTTTACAATCGTTAAAATTAACAAGCCATTCCTTACCCCTGATAAAAACAGGTACTTGATCATTTTTGAGATCAGCTGCTAATTTGACCATATCGACTTACCATTGACAAGATAAATAGTTGTGTGATCAGCATAGATGTCCAGTTGGGTATTGATAGAGGTTTCCTTCCTAACCTTTTGTTTGAAATAGGAGGAATGTCAACATTTTATGTCATTATTTTCTCTTCGAGTCACATATGGTATCCATTTTAGTTGTTGCCGCTGTTGAAATTCCTCAAGAGAGCAGTTTCGATTTGGAGGCGTTAAAATTAACAAAGTTTTCGTTTCCCCCAGTTAACAATAAATTGTGGCCATTTTTTTATCAGCTGCCAATTTGACCTTATCAAACCGATCAGACTAACTAATTTGTTCTAAAACCAATTTCTAAACGTTCTGGGTAAAACGATAAACCAAATCCAACAACCAGTCCTCTGATCAGAAGGTTTTGAGGAGCGTAGAACCACCACTTAATTGCTGGTGTTCCCAGGTCCACGCTGACCCTGGGTGGTAACACGTGTTGGGTCCCAACTATGAGTAAATAGTTGACCCCACAGAAACTGGGGTCAAAACACTATGAAAGTGTAAAAATAGGTTTTAATACAAGAGATACTTTGTAAAACATTATTACCAGCAATACATTATTACCAACAATAAATTTTTGAAAAAAAAAATATTATCAGTAATAAAAATCTTGTTTGCATTAAATAACCCATTGAGGTTGATATGCTGTAAAAGAAACCAAACCAAACCAAAACTAACTTCAAAGAGACGGAGATGAGGCTTTCGTTGCTATAAAAATTCCTCATTCAGCTTTCTTCACCCACAACTCAAACGTTTGATCTCAACTGCTACTGACAGTCTTCCTTTAAGGAGATTTTTTTATTTTATCAATCTTAAGTCTTAATTTTCATGTAGGCATTATCTCTTTTCCCAGGTTAATTTTTTATTAGACGATCAAATCCTGTAGTGCTACCCATGGCGGTAAGGTTGAAGAGAAGGGACGAGACTGAACACAATCAACCCCCGCTCTACACGATCTCAATGACCAAACCGGCGGAAAAGGGCAGCACCAGTTGGGCTGTCGTAACCGAGGCGGACCAAGCAACCGACCGCCAGATGCAACGAAGTTTGCCAGATCTCGCCTGTCTCATTCGAGAGAGGCGCTTCTGGCCGACTGGTTGTGGGCTTCTCAGTCGCACGGAGTTGTCTACCAAAATCAAATTCACACGAATGGTGTCGTTAAACTCTCTTTGGCTACGCTTTCTACCAAATCAGCCTTCCTGGCATAGGAACATCCGAGGGAGAACAAGACCTCCGAGTCAAACCGTTAACATGAAGAGGATTTGCGATGTGCTATAAGAAGGGCCCGACTAGCCCAGCAGCGTCCACCAGCCACACTCTTCTGTAACTCCTCTTCAGGAGTAAGCTGGGCCTTCACAGACATCTCTGTCATCGTCATCAGAGGAGGGAAAAGGAATAAAGAGGGAGGATGATGATCCCGATGCTCAAATGCGAGCGGGTGCTGACGACAACGATGATACCCCTACTTTCATTCCCAATTTAAATTTAATTGTAAATAAATTCTTTCTCTTCAATTTCACAGCGTCTATCCTTTCTTGTATGCCTAATAACCCCATCAAAATTGGATTTATTTTATTTTTCTATACCGGAATAAAATTCCAATCGCTTCGGTGCCTCTTGGTAAAACAGAAAAACCAATGCTTAATCGATAAAAGAAACGAATTTTTTTTTGTCTTTTTCGAACCTACCCCGCGATGGTCGTGTGGTTTTGGGTCTAAATACGGACCCGTCGGGTGTTTACCATTCCTGATGGCGATTCTTCGGGCTGTATTGGGCGTTTGAATTCGGAAGCTAATAATGAAGTCTTTGTTATGCTTCACCGTGTCAAAATTGGCACCACGATGACACGGCCTTTCGCTCGATTTGAACTCTGCTTCATTTTTCTTTCTCTTTGCAACATCATCATCCCTAAAAAAACAAAATCAGAATGAGGAAAGAAGGGTTGGAAAATCTAACACTCACAGAACGTATTAAAAGCAAACGAAGCAAAGAAAAGAAAGACTAAACCTAACGAGCTTATGTAAATGGATGACAAGAACTAGTAAAAGAACAAATATTCCTTAGGGCTACATAGGATAGGAAGTTGTGGAGAGCCATGATCAACCTTCTAAACGAGCTTGTGTACATAGATAATGGAACGGAGCCTGGGAGGAATAGTAAGGAGTCAAATATTTCTTAGAGGTACAAAGAATAGGAAGTTGTAGAGAGTCATGATCAAACTAATTAATGGATGACAGGACCTGGGAGGCATAGTAAAAAGACAAATGTTTCCTAGACCTTACGGTCACATCACGTTGAAACACCGATTCGACATATGATCACCAAAATTAAGAAACATCGAGCTTGGTCAGTACTTAGATGGGTGACCGCTTGGGAATACCAGGTGCCGTATGCTTGGATGTGCGGATGGTGTAATGGATAATGGCTCGGAATTGTTAATCGGATAGCCGAGTTCCAATTCCAGCTGGGTTCATTATACTCACTTACACGCAAATGGGAAAGATATGAATCCACCTCTTCTCCCCCAAGCTAAGGGTTAATTAGTAAAGATTGTATCACTAAACCATAATCATCTTCAAGATACAAAAAAAGTTTCTTAGAATCTAAAAATATTTCCTGGCTTTAAATAATCTGCAAAAGGTTGATAAGACGTAGAAAAACGAATCAATCAATCAATCAATGAAATACTGATTAGCTACACAGGCATATCTTTTAGATTTATTTACATTCTCTGGAATAGAAATGTATAGGAGCAACCGTGGCATCAAAGTAGGGGATCAATTTATATATTGAGTTTAATATAGAATTGATCCCCCACTTTATATCCAAATTATAATTTCTTGTTTGTTGATAAGCCTTAGAAAATCAATCAATCAATCAATGAAATACTGATTAGCTACACAGACATGTCTTTTAGATTTATTTACATTCTCTGGAATAGAAATGTATAGAAGCAACCGTGACCACAAAGTGAGGGATCAGTTTGTATATTGATTGTAGTATAGAATTGATCCCCCATTTATTTCTGCATTATAATTTCTTGTTCATCAAATTCCGGTTAGGCATGAATTCACCTCTTATCCCCCTATGTATGGGTTAATTAGTAAGAGCTGTATCACTTAACCATTATTATCGCCAAAAACAAAATTTTTACAATCTAAAACAGAGTCAGCAGCCAGCAACAGGGACAGAACTACTTTTTGAGTAACGTATGAATACATTCGACTCACTCGATTGGGTGTGCTATGGCCCGAGGTAGCTTTTTGATTGGTGGCGCGTAATTTTTCACGGCAAAATCCGGTGGAGGAATATCCCAGCTGTTATGCACTAACGGTTCGTCTTTTCGTCGATAGGTGGCGCCTCGTAATTGGCTGAGGTGTTGGAGAGCGGTGAACATGGCCTGTGATCTGAAGGTGCATCGGCATACTGGGCCAGTCAAGTCTGTGGTGCTCTCAGGTTGACTGGTTGGTTCGGATGCTACTAAAGGCGCCATTTTGTATAGTATCTGCTAAGTAATAAAAGAAAAGAAATTTTAAAAGGTAAAACATGACCGAGTGAATGCTTTAAGGTTATTTACTTTTTTTTATAGTTCACCCTGTACAAGGCCCAAGGGCTACTCGATGTAGGGGTCAGAGAATAAGAAGCAATTCGTACGGATAGGAAGGGAAGATAACGGTTATGTTTGTAAATGCAAAGTGTGTGGAACTTCTAAAGAAAAAAAAAGTACTTCATTTATAAATACAGATACGAACAAAAATTCCTAATACGCTATATACAACCACATCATGACTCCAAAGACTAAACACTTAAGAACTTGTAAACTAATAAAATTTATTTTAAATATAAAACTTTAGAAGTGAAATGATAAGTAATTAAGTAAATAAAGGGTAAAAATAAATAAAAGTAAGATTTATTTTTATATCAAGTTTCACCCTGCACAAAGATCAGGGGCTACTTGAGGTATAGGGTTATGTTAAGGGATAGTTTATATGGATAAGTGGGGAAGATAATGGTTGACTCTAGACTTGAACAGGTTAAGATTGTAGTGATCGGGGAAACATCCTTTTGGGAGTCGTTTCTACAGGGCAGTGGTTCGTGGGAAGAAGCTGTTTGAGTGGAACTTACTTCTCATTGATGGAATACGGAGGGAATGTGGGTGGTTTGATACTATGTAAGTGGCATGACGGGTCTTAGCCGTGAAGGTTAGAATTGGCGGAACCAAGTAATGTAGTGTTATGGAGTGTTTTCACAGTGGAGGCTTGTATTTGTACTAAGTCGGCCCTAAAATAGGTTCGACGTACAAAACGTTACGAACTTGATATAATAGGTAATGGCGCAGAGAAAATCTAATTGTGGTTGCTGATACTTTAGTATCCGACTAACGGTCGTCCGGCATCGACTGACCAAACCACTGAGCGACTCCCACTACTCCTACTTATTATAGGTGGGAGAGTCTATTAACTATAGCAGAGGTGTGTTCCACTATAACATGTAGCTCTTTCGAGCACTTTCCATGGAATTAGCAATAGAGCAGCGAGAGGCTTGTCACACCCCGTCTGTGTGTGGGGGGGGGAGGGGTTGCAGGGTCGAAAATAATTTGTCAGCTGCAAGGAATGTCCACTTTTTACATTGTAAATTGCATCTTGTGATTATATTATTTCTCCCTCCATTCGAAGCCAAATCAATTGACCCCCCCAAGCAAGGACATAATGCCACTAAGACGCAAGGAACTACTGGGAGTGAAAGAGACTGAAAATTTTTTTAGAAGGGGCTGGAAACCTAATTCTAACAAAGGAACAAAAGGGAAAAACTCTACTCCTGTTCAAAATACCGGGGAGGAGGGTGAAACAGGCTAGATCATGGCTCTCCACAACTTCCTGTCTTTTGTAGCTCTAAAGAATATTTGTCTCCTTACTATCCCACTCGGTCTCTGACTGACATCCATTTACACTAACCCGTTAGGTAGGTTGATAATGGATCTCCACAACTTCCTATCTGTTATATCACTTACTAAGGCTTGTCTCCTTGCTATCCCGCCCAGTCACTGTTCTGCTATCCATTGACACAAGCTCGTTACGTAGGCTGACCGTGGCTCTCCACAACTTCTATATATATATATATATATATATATATATATATATATGAAGAAATATAGTTTTAAGGTGTGCTATATTTATGGGATAAAGTGCCCAATATCAGATATAGAGCGTATGTAAATATAAAAGTTAGCATTGAAGTCAACACTCAGAGGAGACAGGCTGTTTCATGTTAGACGCAATCGTCAGGAGGCCTGACAAAAAAAACTGTTTGTACCATACATTGTCCCAAACGCTTTCAACCACTTCCTTAGCCATTTTCAGGGGTGGGGGTGATATTGTCATTTTGGTGATTGAAAATTTAACTCCCTATTTTATGTATGATGGATTCTCCCGTCTAACTATAAATTTTACAAGAGTCCATCATACATAAAATACGGAGTTACTTTTCAGTCACCCTATCTATCTATCTATCTATCTATCTATCTATCTATCTATCTATCTATATGTGTGTGTGTGTGTGTGTGTGTGTGTGTGTGTATTTAGGCAGCAATCATTCTTTCATGCACATTTCATTGAATACGACAGACAAGGTGCTTTTATTTAGTTTTTTTTATATAATTTCTCATAAGATCTTTTTTCTTTACAAATAATAAGTTATATAAAAACTGTCCGAATGTTCTTTTTATCCGAGCGCTTTCGGCTATACATTTAGCCATTTTTAAGGATTAAATATTTTAACTGTTAAATAAGAAATAGTTTGTTGTATGCATGTTTTATAAAATGTTATCATTTTTCAAAACACGGTCAAGATATTGTGTCCATGTTCAAAGTTAATATTATTAAGTTTTTTTTTTTTTGTTTTATTAATAAGGCTTCCATTATTTTTAGCCTTTTTTTGTATGTAGATGATGCTATTATATTAGTGTTGTCAATAAGTATGTTACGAATAGTATCCGGTAAGTTTCCATGAATATTTAAATGAAACCAAATTGAGCTATGGTCAGAAAGGTGTAGAGTGAGTCTGTGTGTCAAAATTGTTGTAGTATGGCCTATATAATTATTTACAAATTTTGATTGATCAGAAATACTATTCTTAATGGGCATGTATATATGTGTGGATATGTGTGTATATGTGTGTGTGTGTTTACGCAGCATATCTTCATTCAAACATGATTCATTGAATAATACAGACTTATTGTGTCTACTTATTTTCATACTGATCTTTTCCAGTTGTTTAATCAGATTTTTGATGTTAAAATGAAATTCAACAAGAAAACAATTATGTTTTTAATTCAAGTTCTTTCGATTTTTTTCCAAGATTATCTTCAGAGGGAAATTACAACGACAAACTTATTGTAACTCCGATAAAATCTGCGTTCTGTTGTGTTAGTGATTTGAAAAAAAAGCAAAAACTACGGCGCCTTCCTTAACATTAAGAAATTGATTAGAGAACTTTCTTCAAAAGCCAAATACATGTTAACAATAAGCAAGACGAATTTTCTCTTAGAAATATCATAAAGAAATACACAACCCCAGTCAACCAGAACAAGAAAATTTAATTATCTATTACAAAAAATTTAAAACAGCTAACCTTATCCTCAAAATTAACAACAAATCCGCAAAATCAAAACTACGAAGAACCAACATTATTTACGAGTTCAAATGCCCCTTAAGGAACTGTGTTCCTTATCAAACCAAACTCATAAATAATTACATTGGTAACACTACTACATCCCTATCCATACGACATATATTACATCTACCTAACCGTAGCTCCATAAGGACTCATTTAAACTCACACAAAAATCTACCAGACTCCATCCGAAATATACTAGTAGAAAATACAAGTATAATAGTCCCACACGTGTAAAAACAAACAAACAAAATGATTAAAAATAATGGAAGCCCTAATAATAAAAAAAGGAAAAGACGACACTCAATAGTATTAACTATGAACATGGCCACAGTGTACTGACCATGTTCGGAAAATAGAACATTCTTATAACTTTACACTCATACATAAAAAAGAGCCCGACATATTTAGTTAAAAATAAAAAAGAAGAAAAGAAAAGAAAAATCGTCCTTCATAATGGCTAAAAGATTAGCCGAAAGCGTTCGGATATGCAGAACGTTTGGACAATTTTTACAAACTTCGTGTCCAGCAAAAAAAAAAAAAAGACTTCTAAGAACACATTAGAAAAATTAAATAAAAAAACTTAATCGCAGTACCTTGTAAGTTGTCTTTAACGAAACATGTATAAAAGAGGAATTGCTGCCTAAATACACAATTATATTTTCTGTTTATACGTTATTTTAATATATATATATATATATATATATACATTATTTTCATT